CTGTGGCTCAGGTGAGTTTTACTGTGGCTCAGGTAAGTTCCTCTGTGGCTCAGGTGAGTTCCTCTGTGCCTCAGGTAAGTTCCTCTGTGGCTCAGGTGAGTTTTACTGTGGCTCAGGTAAGTTCCTCTGTGGCTCAGGTGAGTTTTACTGTGGCTCAGGTAAGTTCCTCTGTGGCTCAAGTGAGTTCCAATGTGGCTCAGGTGAGTTCCGCTGTCGTTCAGGTGAGTTCCAATGTGGCTCAGGTGAGTTCCAATGTGGCTCAGGTGAGTTCCAATGTGGCTCAGGTGAGTTCCACTGTGGCTCAGGTGAGTTCCACTGTGGCTCAGGTGAGTTCCACTGTGGCTCGGGTGAGTGCTTCTGTAGCTTAGGTATCTTGGACCTCAGAATAGCTTTAGGATTTGCCCATAACTTTCTGCTGATAATGGAGCTTAGGCACGTTTTTTCTGCCTTTTTACATTTAGTGTCATGCCTCTCCCGCCTGTCATTTGCCGTGCTTTTTTGCCCAATCAGGTGGCGCTGTCAGTCGGCTTTATTATAGTCACATGGCTTCCCTTCATCCGCATCTTCGGCCATGGCACTGGCGCCACTGTGATTGCTGCTTGTGTCTCCCTTGCCCTGCGAAGGTGCGCGTTCAAAATGAGTTGATTAGACTCCCAAGTCACCTCGCTACAATGGCACTCACTTCTTGCCTCCTCCTCGCTGTGCGAATTGTGCTCTCTAGATGGCAATGGTAGCATGGATGCTCCATCTGAGAAGTGTTGCTGTTTGGGAGTTAGTCATGCTTGCACACTTGTATTGCAAATCTGCAACCAGCCAGCATATTGCTGACTTGTGTTGAGCTTGTGTCATGCATCTCATATCGATGATGTGTGGTGGGTGTGGTGCGTGCGGTACATGCGATGTGTGATGGGTGTGATATGTGTGGTGCATGTGGTGCACGTGAGGGATGTGATGCATGTGTTATACTTGTGTGCCACATGGTTGCCCTGCAGTTTTGCGCAGTGTGTGTTCACATCGGGTTTTCTTCATCAACAACAGCATCACGGATCCAGCTCTGATTGGCGCTGTCACAGGGATCACTCAATCCATCAATCTCTTTTTCAGAGCAATGGCACCTGCTGCTGGTGCTTCCGTGTTTGCATGGAGCATCAGTGGTAAACCATTCTTCCCTATGGACCATCACTTGTTTTTCTTTGCTCAGGCTGTCCTTCAGCTTGTTCTGGTCATGATTTCTAGGTCCATGCTGGACCATATTGACAGGCCTAAGTTCGTCCGGCGACAAACAAAATAGTGGATATGTCATGCATTTGAGTGTTCTTACCTTGTGTACAAAGGTGCTCATGCCATCTGAACTTATTTTTAACGGTGAGCTCGTTAGAGGAGGTGGGCCCTGACGAGGCTCGGCTCCTCGTCACCAGGGCATGGTTCGGTCTCCCAGCCATATTTGAGGTTCGTGGGCCCAAGCTGATTCTGCAGCCGCACACACTGACCAAGCATGACGTCAACGTCAACTAGGCCTCCGCAGACCAATTACTGTGCCTGATCAATTGCCGAACCTCTTTTGTTGCAGCCAATTAGCGTCCTCCGAGGCGTCTACGTGTACTCCAGTTGGCCTTGAAGCAACAGCCAACAGCAACCAAATACCAACACACGAATTTTACGTGGCCTTGATTTGCCACGTAGCACTGAATACCATTTCAGAACGTAATTGAACCGTAATGAAAACGTTTTGGACGTAAGCCCTGATCCCTTCGACATGGCGTCCCCCAAAGGCTCGCACAACCGCTCAACCACCCTCCATCTTTTCTCCGCTGTTTTGCTCCTAAGAGCTTCAGCTATGAACTGATTACCGTGCTGGTCTGTATTCTCTGTTAGAGTGTCTCGAGAAGTGTTGTTCTTTTAGGAGCTTCAGATTGTTCCTTTTGTCTTTTTTGTCATTTCAGAGTCGCACGTAGATCTAGCTGTTTTCTCAGTGGCAGTTAAACTAGCCGTCGATTAGACCAGCCGCCAGCTGTGATCAGCGCTAGTTGGTTGTCGACATGCCACCAGGCACCCCGTCAGAAGTCGACGAAAGAAAGAATGACTTAGCCTCCGTAGATATACCCGCTGGAGAAGCCAGCGATGCGAGGAATGGCGAAGCGCCGAAAGAGCCGGAAGCGGTGGTGCCGCCAACGGTCAAGTTCATCATCGGCAACGAGTTCTGCGAGCGATTCTCCTTCTACGGCATGCGCGCGATCCTCGCACTGTACCTGAACGAGAGACTAAAGCTGTCGCAGGCGACGGCGACGGAGATGGTGCATCTCTTCATCGTCGCCGCGTACCTCGCTCCCTTGTTTGGCGCCTTCATCAGCGATAGCTACCTGGTAAAGATTCACAATCATTTATTTTCCCCAAGTCAATTGACAGGTTTTAGCCGATAACTCGCATCCAATCCTATACCTCTCCTTGCAATACCACACCGATTTCTTCCAATCCTGTAGCTCTCGTAACGTATTTCATCATGCACCCCGCGCGCCGACCGCAGGGCAAGTACCGCACCATCCTCTACCTCTCATCCATCTACCGCGCCGAGTTCTTAAACATCTCATCTCACTCGCCCAACTGTTAATTGTTAATCCCGTCCCCGCGCGCCCACTGCAGGGCAAGTACCGGACAATCCTGTACCTCTCCTTCATCTACTGCGCCGGCAACTGGCTCGTCGCCTTCTCCGCACTCCACGCCACGCCTTCCGCCGCGCTGCCGTGGGCCGTCGCGGGGCTGACGTGCCTCGCGCTGGGCAGCGGCGGCATCAAGCCGTGCGTGTCGTCGTTCGGCGGCGATCAGATCGAGATGACCAACCCTCCCGGCGCGGCTCGGGACCGCGTGGTTCGGCAGTTCTTCTCGTACTTCTACTTCGCGATTAACGTCGGGTCCGGGATCTCCACGATCGTCACGCCGCTGGTGCGCGTCAATATGTCGTATAGCGCCGCGTTCGCGCTGCCGGCCGTGCTGATGATGGTTGCCACGTGTCTCTTCTGGCTCGGCAGCGGGAGCTACGTGCACCAGCCGCCCGCGGGGAACGTGGTATCGGAGGTCCTCTCTATAATCATCTCCGCTTTATGGCCGGGGAAGGCGCGGCGGAAATCGTACCCCACCCTTACCATGCCCATGCCCGTGCCAATCCCGGAACGCCACGCCAGCTGCGCTGACGTGGACAGCTCCCCCCTCCTCTCCAGCAGCCCTGCGTCGTTCGGCGCGGGCAGGGGAAGCAGCTTCCAGCCGGGAAGCCCGCTGCAAGGTGGCCAATCAGAATCATTTCAGACTCAGCCTCAGACTCAGCAGAGGAAGGGCAGCCAGCCAACGCTGCAGAAGAAGCTGTCGAAGCGGGGCAGCAAGCGGGCCATAGTGCCCTTGGGATTCGTTCCGAAGGCGCACTGGCTGGACCCCGCTAAGGCGACGCACGGGGAGGAGGCGGTGGAGGATGTGAAGCTGCTGCTGCGCGTGCTGGCGCTGTTCGCGCCCGTGCCCATCTTCTGGTCGCTCTTCGACCAGCAGGCCAGCCGATGGGTTTTCCAGGCGGAGCGCATGGACGGGCATTTCTGGGGGATCACAGTGGAGCCGGATCAGATGCAGGTGGGTGGTGAGGGATTGGGAGCGGTGAGAGTGAGGGGTTGGGTGGTGTTGGATAGGGAGTTTTAGGAGTTGGGGGGTGCGGGTTTAGGGTTTTGACCAGCAAGCAAGCGAGGTGGTGGGAGTGGTGAGGGGAGGAGGCGGTGGAGGATGTGAAGCTGCTGCTGCGCGTGCTGGCGCTGTTCGCGCCCGTGCCCATCTTCTGGTCGCTCTTCGACCAGCAGGCCAGCCGATGGGTGTTTCAGGCGGAGAGGATGGACGGGCATTTCTGGGGGATCAGATGCAGGTGTGTGGTGGTTGGGATGGGTGAGGGTAAGTAAGAGGAATCAGCAGGCCAGCCGCTGGGTCTTACAGGCGGAGAGGATGGATGGGTATTTTGGGGAAAATACAGTCGAACCCGATCAGATGCAGAAGGGTTACGGTGGTGAATGGTTGGTGGAGGTTTGGGGTTGGGTGGGGTTGGGAAGTATAGGGAGGGTTCGGCCAGCAGATGGGTCTTCCAGGCGAAGCGCATGGACAGCTGTATCTTGGGGGTCAAGGCGGAGCCGGATGGAAGGGGGTAAGGGGAAGAGTGCAGAGAATTGGGAGAAGGGTGGGGGAAGGGGGTAAGAGTAAGGGCATGCAAATCAGGAGTAAGGAACGAAGTTTGCCCTTACTCCTAAATTTCATGCCCTTACTCCTGCTCCGCCCGCCCCTCTCCCATTTCCCTGCACACTTCCGCTTACCCTTTCCCTTTTGCGTTAACCATGTGGGGTTGATCTTGAGGGGTTGAGCACTCAGGTGCCTGACTGCATGCATGAGCGGCTGAACGGAGGGAAGGAAGGTTGGGCGTGTTTGCTTGCGTGTCAACTGTTAAGAGAGTCTGTGAATGCTGGTGCAGAGCAGTGTTGCGTCGACTCTTGCCTCTGATAAAACCTTTTTGGATCCTCCATTTTATCCAAAACCTCTATTTGATAGCCTTCACTAGTTCCGGTCTCTCTCACGTTACTTCTCCCCTCCTTCCTTCCCTGCTCCGTTCTCCTCCCACTGACCCACCAATGTTCCACTTCCCGTCCTCCTCTCTTCTGCCTCTCCTTCCCCTCCCCACCTTCCCCCCCACGCACAGACCATGAATGCAGCGCTCATTCTGGTGATGATACCGCTGTTCGATCAAGTAATCTACCCTATGTGCGAGCTCCTGGGAGTGTCCATCCGCCCCATCCGCCGCATGGCCACCGGCATGACCCTCGGCGCCCTCAGCTTCGCCCTCTCTGGCCTCCTCCAGATCTGGATCGACGCTCGGGCCAGGTCTGGCTCGCCGAGCCTGCTTCTAGGCTCGGCAGTGACTGCTGCTGCTGCTGCAGCTGGAAGTGCAGGCGCAGGGGAAGGGGCTGGGAGGGTGTTAATGGGCATGATTGGGGGTAACATGACAGCAGGTGTTAGCAGCCTTGGCAGCATGAGCATGAGTGGTATGAGTAGCAACATGAGCATGAGCAACATGAGCAGTATAGCCGGGGGGGGAATTGTGTCTGGTCCTATGATGGACGGATGGGGCGGCGATATGGTGGCAGTGGGAGGAGCAGCAGCTGTTAACACACTGGGAGGCCTAGCAGCCGCAGCAGCAGCGGGGGTAGCAAGCAACAGCAGCAGGCACGTGCTGCAGGCATGCGGGGACCCAGGCAGCCCGCCATGTGTGTCGCTGGCATGGCAGGTGCCACAGTATGTGATCATGACGGCCGGGGAGATCCTCTTCAGCATCACGGGCCTTGAGCTCGCTTACTCCCAGGCGCCTGCTAGTATGACAGCTGTTGTCACTGCCTTCTGGTGCCTCACCGTCGCTGGAGGTGAGCTTTGACCCCTAGGCAGGAAGTGTGGGTTCATTAGGCCTCTTCAGCATCACGGGCCTTGAGCTCGCTTACTCGCAGGCCCCTGCCAGCATGACAGCCGTTGTCACTGCTTTTTGGTGCCTGCCTCGCCGTTGCTGGAGGTGAGCCTTTGGTAGGGAGGGTGCGTTGGAATGGGAGCATGCGTTTGATAGGGTGTGTGTGATAGCTAGAAAATGTGCTCTTGTTTTAGGTTTCCTGGTGGCACAGGGGCAGGTGCCACAGTGTGTGTTTATGGCAGCCAAGGAGATCCTATTCAACATCGCGGGCCGTCTGGTGTCTCTCTGTTTCTGAGGGGTGGGCTCTTAGCCCTATGCAGAGAGTGTTTGCGTCTGTTTGTTTGTTCTGGTCGCCTTGTCAGCTTACACCTGGTTTTTTCAAGAGCAGGAGCGTTTTGACTTCATGTGTCTGCTCTCCACCGCTGCTGCCCCACTCATCGTGGTCCTCATCCCTCGTTCTCATCTCTTTCCTCTCGCTCCAGGCAATCTGTTCACGGCGGTGGTGGTCGGGACTATCGGCCCGCTTCTCACTCAAACCCAGGAGTTTTTCTTCTTCACCATCATGTGCCTCATCTCCACCGCACTGTTACTCTACGTTGGCAAGGGTTTCATCTATGTAGAGAGTTGCCAGGACCTGGAACAGCCTGACCCTTTTTCGCAGAGTGGTGCTGGTGGGTTTGGTGCGGTTGGTGGGAGTGGTGAGGGGCACAGTGCCCCAGTGGCTGTGCCTGGTGGGTCGGGTGCGCGGCACGATGCGCTGTTTGATATTGAAGGGGCGGGGAGTGTAAATTCGCCGCCTGCTTCGTACACTGACACGCCTACGTGAAGCTGCATTGTTGCTGGCTGATTGACTTGCGAACCACAAACAATGTACATTTCTGTTAGGTATTGGGTTAGGACATTGCTGCCATCGATTGAGTTTGACCATTGTGTACAGTAAATCATACACTACTCAATGCCAGACCCCACAACTAGAGGGATGCCCTTTCTAACTTGCTATAAAGTGGACTAGGAGTGTTTCTGAAATGGATTAGTAGAATGTTTTGCGTGTTGTCGTTATATTTAGGAGGATGCCTTGTCGAGTACGTAGACATTTGGATCTAACACGTGTCGCGCTCGTACACGCAGCCTCATACTCCCCACAAAGTTTGGGACTCAAATCGAGCCGCCTTAGCGAAACCTTTCGACTGTCGGTGGTCGATCGCCTCCAGCAAGCTGGGATTTGAATCGAGCCATCGGTGGTGTACCTGATACCTACGAAAATGTCCTAATTCGCAAAAAGGGTTTCCAAATCTCTGCGTTTCGCAAATACTTTCCTGACCACAAGATCCAGGCATCAGAGACTGGACCGGATCAGCCAATGGAAGGCCTCGAATATGCTCCAACGCATCATGTTGGAACACAGAGGGGTCCGTGGTAAATCAACGGTGAAGCTTCGTCTCCCTGTGAATCTGTGATCACTTCCTTTGTGCCCTCAACCCAACAAATTTCAAGGATTTCTCACCTCCCCATTTTGATCATCCCGCTTCTTGTTGGCCCTTCGAGCTTGCTAGCTCCACGGACTAGGTTGAGAAGCTAGCTGTCACTTGAACGTCCAAAGCAGGCTGATATAGGATCTGGTCAGGGTAGAGTCGCAAGCGCGGTTTGCAGACTTGAGAGCTTTAGTCGTCTCCTAGTGTCCTGCTCAACAGCACAGAAGTCAAAATGTCGGAAGAGACGCAGAGCCTGACAGGAGCAGTCGGTTTGGCGACGAAAACAGGCGGATGGATAAAGAAAGAGGAAGTGAAGAAGGCGGTTTCAAGGTGAGATCCGCACAAGAGCATCACTTCTGAGAAATCTCAAATCAAGCGGATAAAAAGCCGTTTCCAGGTGAGATCCTCACAAGGACTCAAGTTATGCATCCCTTCCATCAACGCATCGAGCATTCTTCAACTGAAAGATGGTATGAGAGATCAGTCTCATCAAACGGAGAGTGCTATGACCAGCATTTTCCAAACAAGAATATGAATAAGAATGCAAACGCAAATGCCAAATGCCAAATGCCTTGCCATCCACCAACCCCTTCCAAAATTTTTCTCCCATGACGGCATTCCCCGCATTTCACAAACCTGCGTGGTTCCTGACGCCTCTCTTCTGATGCGCGAAGCCTTTCTGATGTGCAAAGCATTTTTAAAGGCATTTCCTGATCCATGTCGTCCGTGCTGCAGCTATGAGAACTACCACGAGAGCTTTGGAGGGAGCGACAGCGCGCGCAAGTCAAACTATACGGACATGGTATGTAACTGGTGTCTGTTCTCAGCAGCTGGTATGTACGCGGCATGACATCGGGGGGTTACTGATGTGTGGTAACAAGTTTTTTTTTAACAACGTGGCATACTGCACGCAATCACGAGAGTTGATTTCAACTGATAACGAACGTAGGAGTCGTGCCGCTACTCTTAATCGCCCATCTCTTCGCTTCCTCGCCCGTCCCACCTCCCCTCTCACACACTCGACCAGGTGAACAAGTACTACGATCTGGTAACCAGCTTCTACGAATACGGCTGGGGCGAGTCGTTCCACTTCGCTCACCGGTACGAGCTTCGCTGACCTCTCACTGTTAAGACAAAACAAAGTAGCACCTGTATCTGCAACATACGATCTAGGTTACCAGTCTGAAGTTCGGGTCCACAGCAGTCCAGCCTTCACCAATTCCCTTCAGAAGCGGCCATGATCTCCGAGTAGCACACCGAGCACATCAAGCCGTTCGATACGTGCTCCTGCCTCGCCCCAAGTCAGCCTGCATGGGATCCTCCTCTAAGCGCTGCGAGCTCATTGCATCGCTAGTGGCTCTCACAAGCCCCCTGGTGTTGTCGCGTCTTGGTGTTGTCGCGTCTTGGTGTTGTCGCGTCTTGGTGTTGTCGCGTCTTGGTGTTGTCGCGTCTTGGTGTTGTCGCGTCTTGGTGTTGTCGCGTCTTGGTGTTGCCGCGTCTTGGTGTTGTCGCGTCTTGGTGTTGTCGCGTCTTGGTGTTGCCGCGTCTTGGTGTTGTCGCGTCTTGGTGTTGTCGCGTCTTCAGCCCTGGAAAACGCGTGTCCGCCATACCGCATCTCCGCTCCTAACAACCGTTGCCTCTGTGCCGTGCTGTGCTGTGCTCTGTCCGGACAGCATGAGGGGCGAGACGCTACGGGAGAGCATCAAGCGTCACGAGCACTTCCTGGCACTGCGGCTAGGACTGGGCCCTGGCATGAAGGTGCGTGCGTAATGTTCCATGGGGCGTGAAAGGGTCTACTGTTTTTTGGAGGGGGGGAGGGGAGGGGCGGGGCATGAGTTTCCTTCTCGGCTTTTCTTTCCTCCCCCTTCAGGAATATTCTTCTTTTCCCTGACAGCCTTGTGTTTCTCATATCCCCGGCTGCCATCCCATGCACAGCCTCGTGCCCCACCCCTTCCTCCTCTCCACACCTCACCGCACTCCGTACTCACTCCTCTTTACACCTCGGCTGCTGCCCCTCGTCTCACCACTCTCGCTCCCAGGTGTTGGATGTGGGGTGCGGCATCGGAGGGCCGTTGAGAGAGATCGCTTTATTCAGGTACGCCCACACCCTCTGCCTGCTGTTTAGTCTTGAGAGAGAATGCCTGCTGGTCAGAGCTTTTGTCTGAGAGAAATCGCCTGCTTTTGCTCGTCACTGTGGTAACCATTGGAATTGCGTCATTCACCCGTTTTTTGCTTGCACCACGCTGAATGTCTGTATGCTCAGTCGTCTCTGCTCCACTCCTCACTTGCACGTTCCCTGTCGCCTCCCCTCTCCCCCTGTGTGCAACACAACACAACACAACACAATGCAGCGGCGCCACGGTGACAGGGCTCAACAACAACGAGTACCAGATCTCCCGCGGCAAGGTACGCTGGCTCTCTTATCTGTTCATTTCTCAATGCATCCAGCCACCCACCTCGCCACCCACCTCGCCACCCACCTCGCCACCCACCTCGCCACCCACCATGTCGCCTCTTCTCCATCCCCTCCATCCTCCCCTCCGTCCAACCCACCAGGTGCTCAACAGGCGCCACCGTGCATTGGAGTCATGCGGGTTCATAAAGGCGGACTTCATGAGCATCCCCATGCCCGCTGCCGCTGTCTATGCTCCTCACTCTTGCACCTCTCCCTGCCGTTCAATCGCCTCACCAGGTGCTGAACAGGCGCCACAGGGCGCTGGAGTCATGCGGGTTCATAAAGGCGGACTTCATGAGCATCCCCGTGCCTTCCTGCTGCCATGGTCTGTGCTCCTCACGCTTGCACTTCCGTCCGTCCGTCCGTTCCCCTCCCCCTCTACCAACTGCGCCAGGTGCTCAACAGGCGTCACCGAGCACTGGAGTCATGCGGGTTCATAAAGGCGGACTTCATGAGCATCCCCGTGCCTGATGCCTCCTTTGATGCCGTCTACGCCATCGAAGCCACCTGCCACGCGCCTGACGCCGTGAGTACCACACCCCCCATGCTGTGACGCCATCTAACCCCGCGTATCCATATCCCCGTTCGCATCCCCGAGCCCGATGCGTCCGTTGATGCCGTCTACGCCATCGAAGCCACCTGCCATGCGCCCGATGCTGTGAGTGTGCTCCTGGCCTTTGTTCTCTCAGGAAGCGTCGCCAGAAGCCACAACGGGCGTGAGTTTCCGAATCGTTAGTAAAAAAAGCCCCGCTTATGCCTGAACTGAACTTTTCCTGATCCATCTCCCATATCCATATCCCCGTTTGTTGTGGTGCCTATCCCCCGCCAGGTGGGGTGCTACAGCGAGGTGAAGCGAGTGCTGAAGCCAGGGCAGTGCTTTGCGGCATATGAGTGGTGCCTCACAGACGCATACGACCCCAACAACCCCCAGCACCAGGAGGTCAAGGTGAGTGGGACGCGCTATAGAGTACGGACACTGCAACTCAACCAGAGCGACTGCTGCCTACTCTGTTCTTGCACGTGTTTGAGCCCTAACATCCTCCCAACCCCCACTGCGAAGCCTCTGTCTGCTCTCTCTCTCTCTTTATATGTGGTCCCCCTTGTGTTGCGGTGCAGAGGGAGGTGGAGCTGGGCAACGGGCTGCCAGACATCCGCACCACGGCGCAGGTCCGCCAGGCGCTGCTGGACGGCGGATTTGAGGTGAGCGAGTGAGCCCCGGACTCTGCACGCACCCCATGCCACTGCCAGACATGTCTGCGCTTCTGAATGCCTTCACTGCCACGCATCCGCATCGCACCACGGCGCAGGTCCGCCAGGCTCTGCTGGACGGCGGCTTTGAGGTGAGTGGGCAAGCTCTACGCACCCCGTGGCACTGCATGCATGCATCCCATGCACATGTGGCCGCATGGCTGTGTGCGCAGCGCACTGAGAGCATGCAGGTAGCGCAGCAGAGCAGTGTGATTCATGCCACGCGCTGCCAGACATCCACTCCGCACCACGGCGCGGGTCCGCCAGGCTCTGCTGGACGCCGGCTTTGAGGTGAGCGAGTCAGCCCCATGCGTGGTCTCCTCCTGCATCCAGAGCAACCCAGTGTCGTGTAGTGCAGCCAGCGGCATCCGTTGCGAGGCTAGGTTGCTTTGCTTGCAGGACAGGTGGCAGAGAGGATGGGAGCGCTTGTGGAAGTGCGCGTGCTGCATGCAGGGTCCTTGCTGTTCTGTTGGCAAGTGTGAAACGTCTGATTGCGCAGTCATGGCGCGGTGCTGAGGTGGAAGCAGCTTGTCTCAGGTGCTTAAGGCACGTGCATCCATGGTCCAAGGCCTCTTACCCTCCGCCTCCCTTTCTTTCACCCATCCTTCCCACACCCTTCCTTCTTCAACCCTCCCCCTTTTCCCCCCGATTCACAGCTGCTGGAGGCAGCGGATCTGACGGAGACAGCGGAGGTGGCATGGCACAAGCCGCTGGACCCCAGCTACTTCTCGCATGACGCTCTCCTGCCCCCTCTCTCCTCGTTCCATGCACCTCTCCTCCCACTTCCCCCACATTCACAGCTGCTGGAGGCGGCGGACCTAACGGAGACAGCGGAGGTGGCGTGGCACAAGCCGCTGGACCCCAGCTACTTCTCGCTCTCGCAGTTCAAGCTCACCCGCCTTGGCCGCTTCCTCACCACCACCCTTGTGCGTGCCCTTTCCTTCCGCTCACCACCACCCTTGTGCGTTCTCATTCCCCATGTTTCCCTTGAGGAGGTGTCCTTTCGTATCACCTCCTCACCACCACCCTTGTGCGTTCTCGTTCCCCATTTTTTTCCTTGAGGAGGTGTCCTTTCACTTCAATCTCCTCACCACCTCCCTCGTGTGACTTCTTTCACTTCCTCACACCACCTCTTTTCTAAGCTTCTTTCAATCCTTCTGTGGCACTCAGTTCCCGCTCCTTACCCCGCGTCTGTTTGGCCTCGTGTGTCTTCTTTCACTTCCATCTCCTCCTCGTGCTCATCTTGGTCCTTGAAACCACTTCTCCCCCCCAAATACCAGAAGTTCTTCCCACCTGTCTCCCCCCTCCCTATCTATCTCTTCCTAACTCCGTTCCCGTTGCTTCCATGCTCCCTTGCCCCTGTCATACCCGCCCCTATGGTCCCCGGCCAATCAGGTGCAAGTGCTGGAGAGGCTGCGGATTGCGCCAGCTGGCAGCTACCGCGTGCAGAAGTTTCTGGAGAGAGGGGCTGACGCGCTCGTGGAGGGCGGCAAGTGAGTGGAACTGATTGCCCGACGCGTTACAGAGTGCCTTGTCCATTCTGTGCCTCTTCTGCTCCGTCTTGAACCTCCCCTCATCCTCAGGCCCACTTTTTCTCCCCTTCTATTTCAATCTCTCTCTCCCTGTGTATAGTTGCTCTTTTCATCCACCCCCTTCTCCCATCTCCCCTCTTTTCCCCTTGCTCCTCTCCTCCCTCTCCTCCCTCTCCTCCCTCTCCTCCCCCGCTCTGGGAACTAACACTCTGTTCATCTGGTAATGAGAGCCTTCTCTGTGTGCCTTATTGCTCGAACGTTTCATGTGCAGGAGAGAGATATTCACACCCATGTATTTCTTCCTTGCTCGCAAGCCCCTGTAAAATTTTTGAGGTCGTAGTGTGAACAACTTCAAGTGTAGTTTTCTTATAATTAATAATCATGAATGCAGCCAAAGTATTTGTTATTGTTAGTTGCAAAGGTGAATGGTTATGAGGTACCCATTTAACAGCTACCTGATAATTAAGTGTGAGTAACACAACACTCACTCTACAGTTACCTGCATGCGGATGTAGGGCGGATGTAGAAGCTGGAAAAGAATCCACCAGTCTACTCCATGTTCTAAATATTTTTGTCCCTGAAATTTAATGCGCTGTAGTGATTATTGAGGAACATTCAATTGAGAACCAGACGAGGGAGCGGGGAAGTGGAGAGGAGAGATAGTTCGTCCATGCTGGCGGCCTTTTTCCCAGCCCGCTGGCGCGCAGCTGCCGCAGACGCTTCTGCCTTTCACTTCTGTCTTCCAGCTTTCGCTCGAAGCTTCTCAAAGGAGATTAGTTTTCTGGTTCCTTTTTTTTTCGTAGGGCGGATTGATGGATTTGCTGTCGTTCATGTGTCGTCGAATTTGGGGCTGCTGTCGACGATCACCACCCCGAATTCGCCCACTTCCTTTCCTTTCTTTTCGAACTGGTGGCTTGGCTTACAGTTTCGGGGAAAGATGATTCTTCGGAGTTTGTTCTGCCCGCGGTGCCGCCGCCGTAGGTGGGGCGCGCGCTGAGTCATCGCCCGCATCCACGCTGGCGAGCCGCCATCAGATGAAACATGTAACTCGTAGCTTGTAGTAGCCTAGCCTGGAATACACGATGTGCTTTCTTGATTGTCGTGCGCATTCGTACATAATCAAAGGCATTAACGAGGGGAGGGCATTACTCCAACAATCTAGCTGAAACCGAGTCTCCCTGTCATCTCTCATTCGCCATCTGTCTTCCCTCCCGCCATTTCTCGGTACTGCTCGTATCGGGGCTTTGCTGCCGCTGCCAGCTGAAACAGACGGACGTCGATAATTCCGTCAGACTCGCGTTTGTTTTCTGTCGCGACTCGGCAAGCTGAAGCATTGCGCCGTGGATTGCGCTCGCGCTCGTGGGGCTCCTGCTGGGAGCCACTAATCTCTGCGCGGTTCGCGGAGAGTCGTTTAATTACGACCTCTCGGGCACGGACTGGCCGGTAGGAGCTGACTTGCTGGTGGGGAATGTTACAATTATACATTGTAGCATGCTAAGCACATGTGACTGTACACCAATTGTGGTGTACAGTTGGGTTGGGACTACACCCAACATTGGGTGTAGCCTTGCACTTTGGGGTGCCAATCCACCCAATTGTGGTGGAGCCCCCAAATTGCAACCCTCTTGACTTTTGGGTACCTCACTTCACAATTGAGGCCACCACAAGCCAAGTGGGCCTAGGGTTGCCACACTTCTTAGAAGTGTGGGCAACCCAACCCACCCCACCTTTGCTTGCCTCACTTCCCAAAGTGAGGCCAACCCAACCATAGGTTTGGTTCCTCCTTCCAAGCTTCTCTTCCCAAACTATGTATGCTAGGTTTGCTCTCTAATGAGATCACTTGTTCAATTCACATATTTCACATGGTATAGAGCTAGTTGTTCCACAAACCTTAACTCTCCCTCCCTCAAGTTTTTTTTTTTTTCCTATGGGCCCACCCCACAGCCACAATTTCCCTCCTACATTTAGCTCGACCTAGCATACTCTAGCAAGTGCATCGCCGCCTCCTCCCCTAGCCGTCGCGGCCATCCCGCCGCGCCGTCTCCTCCCCTCGCCGCCGTGGCCATTTCGCCGCCGCCGCCTCCTCCCCTCGTCGCCGCGGCCACTTCCGCCGCCGCCGCCTCCTCCTCTCGCCGCCGCGGCCATTTCCGCCGCCGCCGCCTCCTCCCCTCGTCGCCGCGGCCATTTCCGCCGCCGCCGCCTCCTTCCCTCGCCGCCGCGGCCGATTCCGCCGCCGCCGCCTCCTTCCCTCGCCGCCGCAGCCGTTCCGTCGCCACCGCCTCCTCCCTTCGCCGCCGCGGCCGATTCCGCCGCCGCCGCCTCCTCCCCTCGCCGCCGCGGCCGATTCCGCCGCCGCCGCCTCCTCCCCTCGCCGCCGCGGCCGATTCCGCCGCCGCCGCCTCCTCCCCTCGCCGCCGCGGCCGATTCCGCCGCCGCCGCCTCCTCCCCTCGCCGCCGCGGCCGATTCCGCCGCCGCCGCCTCCTCCCCTCGCCGCCGCGGCCGATTCCGCCGCCGCGGCCGATTCCGCCGCCGCCGCCTCCTCCCGTTGCCGCCGCGGCCGATTCCGCCGCCGCCGCCTCCTCCCCTCGCCGCCGCGGCCACTTCCGCCGCCGCCGCCTCCTCCCTTCGCCGCCGCGGCCGATTCCGCCGCCGCCGCCTCCTCCCCTCGCCGCCGCGGCCACTTCCGCCGCCGCCGCCTCCTCCCTTCGCCACCGCGGCCGATTCCGCCGCCGCCGCCTCCTCCCCTCTCCGTCGCGGCCGTTTCCGCCGCCGCCGCCTCCTCCCTTCGCCGCCGCGGCCGTTTCCGCCGCCGCCGCCTCCTCCCGTTGCTGCCGCGGCCGATTCCGACGCCGCCGCCCCCCCTCCCTTTGCCGCCGCGGCCACTTCCGCCGCCGCGGCCACTCCCCCCGCCGCCGCCTCCTCCCCTCGTCCCCGCGGCCGCTTCCGCCGCCGACGCCTCCTCCCCTCGTCGTCGCCTCTCTCACACCGTCGCCGCCTGCGCCTCCCGCCGCGGCGCCCACTTCCTCCCCCTTCCCCTTCTCCCCTCCCCTCCACAGCAGTGGCAGCAGCGGCAGCAGCGGCAGCAACGGCAGCAGCGGCAGCAGCGGCACCAGAGGCAGCAGCAACAGCAGCCGGAGCAGAGCTCCATCCTCCTGCAGCAGCACCGCCGTCGCCCCTCATGGATACCACTCCTCCCCCTCTTCCCCTCCCCATTGACGCCTCCTCCGTCGACAAGCTCCAACTTGCCGCGGACCGCTCGGCGATCAATTGGCACTCCTTCGTCGGGAGCATCCGCCGCGTTCTTCAGGACGCATTCGTCGGACCCTACTGCGTCCTCGACGTCCTCCTCCGCCGCCCGCAAGCTCTCCAGCCCACGGCACCCAGTCACCCCGGCGAACCCCCTCCACCCTCCGATCCTCCTGGCCCTCCTCCTTCTGAACCCACCTTGGAGATCGCCACTACCCCAGCGCTCCAGAGTGCCGCCGATGCCACCTTCCTCCATGACCGCCGCGAGTACCTCATCCGCAAGGCAGAGCACGAGGTCGCAGTCCACCATCACGACTTCGCAGTAGCGGAACGCGCCAACCGCCTGGCGCTCCTCGATGAGTACAACACGGCCATGGCAGACTACCTCCCCAAGAGCATTGCATGGGCCGCTGCTGACAACCGCGCCTGCACCATCCTCCTCGGCGCACTCCCTGATACCCTCATGCGCCGTTTCCAGGCTCGGGAGATGCGCGCCTCCCTCATCTGGGCCGAGCTCCAGGCAATGTTCGAGCGCCGCGACATCAGCTCTGTCGGCGCCCTGTTCCAGGAGTACTTCTCCATCACCCTCGCTACCTGTGACGGCGCAGTTGACTACGTGGGGCGCATGCAGGAGGTCGCTGACCGCCTTGCTGCACGCCAAGCTGCCCTCCCCGAGCCACTGCAAATCCACCGCCTCCTCTACAACCTCACCCCGGACTACGAGTCCCGCCTCCATGCCTTCACTGAAGCGAACGCCATGGCCGGCCTCAACGACGTGGTCCAATGGATCATCGACACGGAGGTCAAGCTCCGCACCCCCGTTGTCAACCTCACCACCCCTCAGCCCTCCTCCTCCAGCTCCCTCAATGCTACGCAACCGCGCAACCAGGGTGGTCGCAGCGGTGGCGGTGGAGGCCGTGGAGCGGGTGGTGGTGGTGGAGGTCGTGGCGGTAGTGGTGGTGGTGGCGGTAGCCGTGGTGGCCGTGGCGGAGGTGGTGGTGGTGCTAGCAGTACCTCTGCTGGAGGACCGTCCGGTGCTAGTGGTGCTGTGACTCGAGGCGCTCGCCCTGGCACTCTCCCCCCATGCACGTATGTGCGCCGCCATGGTCCCCATGCTGGTACCCCTTGCGGCCAAACCAACCATCCCCCCAGCACGTGCTTCAAGGCGCTCGATTACGCCTCGTTTGACCGAGGTAACACTGGCACCCCTCCTCGCTGGAACACTGTCACCCCTCGCCCCTCCCTGGTGGATGTTCAAACCCTCCCATCTTTCCTTCCTGCTCACCTCCGCCTGGTTAGCCCCTCCCAGCCTTCCCAGCTGCAGCAATTCCAGCAGCACCAGCAGCAGCAGCATCAGTACTTCCAGCAGCAGCAGCAGCAGCAGCCGCAGTTTCTCCAGCCGCAGCAGCCGCCGCCGCCGCATTTCTTCCAACCGCCGCCGCAGCAGCAGCAGCAGTTCCTTCCCCCGTACTGGCAGCAGCAGCCACTGACCTTCGGCACGGCGGCTACGGCCGCCCATGCCTCCCTTGCTCCCCCCCCTCCCTGGGGTTCTCTCCCCTCTGCCCCCCCAAGTGTCCCCGACACTTCGGGCAGTTTCCTCGGTAATGTCAGTATTGCACCATCCGTCGCTTCCATGTATCCCTCTGCTATCAATGAAACTTCTTTCCAGTACCCCGTGTCACCTCCTCCACCTTCCTCCCCCACCCTGGACTTCGTCCTTGATAGTGGGGCCACTGAAACCGCACTAAAAGACGCAGGTACTCTCACCCCCCTTCCACTTCCCACTCAGGTTCATGGAGCTGATTCCAGTTTTTCCATCCCTTGCACTCATCTCTCCACCCTCCCCTGCACTGCCTTCCCCTCCGGTAAAGTCACAGGCCTCCACATCCCCACTCTCCGCAACAACCTCATCTCCCACCGTGAGCTCCAAGGTGTTGGTATCACTGCCATCTACCCTGGTTATGCCAATTACTGTGACCTCTACCAAACTTCCTCTGGCCGCTTCCTCCTCCGCATCCCACTCTGCCCTCGCACTCGCCTCTACACACTCCGCACACCTCGCCCATCCTACTGCCA